AAATCATAATGAAGAAAAGAGAAATGAAACTTTCTATGTTTTTACCACTTTTATTTGTAACTAACGTTACTGCAGTTTCGTCCTATACGGACATTTTTAAACTTATACAATAAACTAACAATGATTCATTACATTAGCCATTATATACCACCCCAGTATGTACTAATAGAGGTACTTGGCTTGATTGAGTACCTGAATTTACAGTTTACAATGCGGATCTGCCAATTTAAAAACCGGCGAGTAAACTAAATTGATTTGATCATTTAACAGGTTGCACCCGCAATGTTTATGCTTGTGAATTTCTAAGGATTCTAAATAATTGAGTTTGTATCCCTTCCTTGTATAGTGCAGTATTTCCGTATCGTTAAGATTCGAAAACTTGTGGTTGCATGCCAAGGAATGGTTTGAAAACGTCGAATCATTTTTCCTCGTCTGAAGGACCTATCATGTTCAGCATACCGTTTTTGGAAATTTCGGCCACATTGCCACACATAAACACTATTACACTCCGGACACTTAAGCTCATTAACTCCAGATTTCTCCAACTTGTCCACCTTATGTTTGGCATTGAAAAGGAAATAAGATAACCTGGCATATGGTCTGAAAGCCCCTTCCACATTGTTTTTTCTGAAGAAACACGCAATTATCTCTGTTCTTTTTCCAAAATATGTGAGCGTTACCCATTTCTTGATTTCTGGTTGTTTGACCGTGAGGGTATATGTATCTGTAAGTGAATTTACGGCTTTGTTTTCTGACTAACTTCTGGATAGTATCTGCGTTAAAACCATTATTATGACCTTTCTGTGTGGTTATATCAATTTCCCTAGCTAGATTGTTAGCAGACAAAGGCAGTGAGAATGCTCTGTGCAACATTGAATTGTAGGCTGCTAATTTATGACTATCTGGATGGAAAGAGTCGCTTGGGATGGTGATGTCTGTATAGCTAGGTTTTCTGAAAACATTGAACTCGAATTTATTATGATTGTGTGTAATGGCCAGGTCTAAGAAATTTATCTGTTTCTCTATCTCTATTTCGAGTGTGAACTGAATGTTGCTATTGAGATTATTAATGAATTCATAAATTGGTTCAGCTGTCGTGTAGTACCTCTGAAACAGGCGAGAATATCGTCTACATATCTGTACCAAAAATGAATATGTTTTTTACCCAGGTCGGAATTTACTATAGTGGTCTCCAAGTTGTTCATAAATATGTCTACTAAAAGTGGAATGAGGGGTGAGCCAATGGGCTCACAGGGGTGGTATATAATGGCTAATGTAATGAATCATTGTTAGTTTATTGTATAAGTTTTAAAATGTCCGCATAGGACGAAACCGCAGTAACGTTAGTTACAAATAAAAGTGGTAAAAACATAGAAAGTTTCATTTCTCTTTTCTTCATTAGATTGAATACCTTTGAATGTCGTAGAATAATTTATAATGTAGTCACATCAATTAATGCTTCATAAATTGTTATATAACTTTCTATTTTATCGACGAAATTGTAAAGAGTCATAGCAATATTTTAATTTAGAAATTTTGTTCTCATTTGCTATTGGTATCTACTAGCTTCTGTTACATGTTAAGAATGTTGTAGACATTCAAACCACCTTCGTGTGAGTGGAGACCTTGACAGAACACGGTGTCCCTTCGCACTCAACAATTAAAAAAGTCATTATATCTGATACACTGGCGACTCACAATGTAATCTATCTTTGTAAATATACTCACGTTACAAAAATTCGTTTATAATTGCGGAGATAATGCGCCTTTAAAATTCATGATTCCGTTTTCGTCCTTTCTCACGCACTTTCATTGTTTTTTATGGCTTCTCTTGTTTTTTTATTGACGGAGTGAGATTACTATCGTGTAATTGATTGAGTTTCGCCAGTGTATAGTTTCCCTTACGAAAACATACAGGAAATTGAAAGGAATAAAAACCAAAACAACCTCAAAAAATCTATATAGCGAAAATGCAAAGTGTACTATGGAATCTGAAGTATGTTTTGAATATTATGTAATACTTTCGAACGATAGAAGTTCAAACCTATAATACTCAAGACGATTTTATAGCAAAAAATCGATTCAAACTATAAACAAAAATATCCGTTGGGTCATTGAATCACAAACTCTTTTGAGAGAATCGTAAGATCTGCTAGACAGAAAGACTTTCAAAATTACTTCTGATTTTTCTGCTGACAAAGCGTTTGTTTTAACTCTGATGATCCATCAATATGTACCTCTGAAGTAACTGAGATTATTCAGGCAGATATGGATGCATATATTTTTTCAATAAACCTTGCTTCTAATGACAAACCATGATTCAAGACAAGCGAGCAAGCTGCCGCTACAGGCAGTGGAACAAAAATCCTAGCATCAACAATTGTTTCAGGTTTGTTGATGTCCCAAGAAATGCAAATTAGAAATAAATGAGAGTAAAGAATTGGATAACAAGAAAGTTGAGAATGAACTATTTTCCAGTCCAAGGGGTCAGTCATAGTCGGCAGATAGTTGATTTCACCACTGTCATAATTTCACCACTGAAACGATAATACAAATAGATCGTTCAGTACGATGTAGTAACATCAGTGCTCGTTATAAAAGTCAAATTAATTTTCTGAATAATTTAAATCTCACTCCAAATAGATGAATATTGCAAGTGATTTTCAAAGAAAGCCAACTGGTAGTCATATAGTATCTGTTCTCATTATTAAAAAATGCGTTAATATATTTGCACTATCCAACTCATTTCTTCTTGTTGCAATATTGGTCAAGTTCAGCTCAAACTATAATCCTTGTAAAGGACTGTAGATGAATATATCCTCAAATGTCTGGGACACTTCAACTACTTAAGCGATTACCTCAATGGTTTCCGGAAGCAAACATTCTCTCATGTGTCACCAATGTAATGCGAATCGCTACTTTCGCAAAGGCACCGCTTTTAGAGGTACTTCAAGGATGATCCTGTATTGCCTGTGTTTTTTCCTCAAAAAAGTCTTTCGATAAACATTGAGAGTAGTCATCGACGATTTTCTCTCGGATACCTTTGCCAACAACGCTGATGATCCACAAGGATCCATATTGTCTCCAACCATATTCCTACATGAACGACCTATTGAAAATGAAAATCCAAAGTTTTGTTTTGCTGAAAACAGTACGCTCATTTCTTCTTTCCATTCAGATACTTGAACACCATGTTAGTAACCAAGTAGACGTTGGAGCTAAATTTTCTCTAGAATATTAAAAATGTCATCTCTTGTAAGATAAACATGACAGAATCCAAATTATTATCGTCACGTTGCTAGAATAGTGAAGGTAGCCTCTAAGAATTTGAGAACAGTACTTCGAACTAGAAACTTGCATACAACTCAGCTACTTTTGATGTTTCATATATCTCAAATCAGTCCTGCCTTGGTATATTACTCACATCTCACATATATGCTCAGAGTATGTTCAGTGGGGCGAACTAAGTATACTATGAGGTTAGGTTAGGTCCAAGGTAGATTGGTCTATTCGATCCTCCATCGCAACAAGCAAAGGTTTATTGTGGCTTATACCTATTTACACTCGGTCAAATAAACCCAGCTTCTTAACGAAGCCGATTAGTTTGTAGGTCAGATGATGAGAGTACGGCTCTGCCGAACTCTTAGTTAGACATTGTAGTTCATCCCTACTGTAGTCCAACAACTGTTTGGTATAAAGCTTCGAAGAGTGAATGAACGCCTTGGAGTGAGCCAATCCTGGAGGATTCTGTCAGAAGTCCATAAATCTTCTTGCCATTCAGGTGTTCAACCTTTGTTTGGTAAAGCCTGAAGCGATGCCAATGACAGGTGTTCTGGTCCGATGAAGCTGCACCTTTGCAAGGGAATCAACAGCCTCATTGCCTTTCAGGCCAGTATGGCCAGGAATCCAGACCAGAGACAATCTGTTAAGTCTTCCTATCGAGGAGAGTCGTTTTTGGCAATTTGCTACCAACTTAGACGTTGCTCGGTAGGAGCCAAGAGCTTCCAACTCCGCTTAACTTAACTGTCCGAGAATATTCTTATTGACTCTATACGAGGTTGGATTCTTCCAATCTCTCCGCACACAATTCAATAGCGTAAATTTCCGCTTGAAATACAGTCGCATAGCTTCCTAGGCAGGTTGATACCTATGTCCTGGATTTGCGACTGAAAACACCTGCACCAGAACCGGAAGGTCTTCTTGATCCATCTGTAAACCAACAACTATCTGCGCTCAGTATTTCCTTCTTCAAGCATATTATGAGACTGCTAGATTCTATTCAAAAAACGAGAAATTCACCTGATTGTAGACCCAACCAACACAAGTATCTTTTATATTCGCTAGTCCAGTCTTCCTTCGATGTTCCATCGATGTTCCATCGAAGGAAGACTGGAGAATTACAGATGATTTTTCTATAGATAGTTTCAGAAACACACGCAAACTAGAGTTGCAGTCCAATTCAATACACCTCGAACTAGTTTTAAGGAACACATTTTTTGGAAAATTTCCCAAGATCTTCCATTCAAATTACTATAATCTACAACAATTAAAAATTAAAACGTGAATAGCCTCTTTCGTACAGGAAACACTCTTATAGAGTCTCGTGCGGTTTTCCCCATTTTTTTCTTAGTGGAAATTAACTAACTGAGCTTGGTTTACTGTTTAAAAAATCTGTTTAAAATCTGTTTTTCCGTTAATCAGCTGTCGCCCCCATACGAACGACAACTCTCAGAAGTTGAGAAACTTGTGCGAGCTAAGAACTAACGAGGTCTTACCTCTTAACGTGGGATTCCTAACACGGTTGCAGAATCATCCCAGCTTCAACCAGATAAATTCTATCGAGAAAAATATCTGGTCAGGAATCGAACCCACGACCTACCGATCGTGAGTCGGGTGCACTACCACCGCGGCCAAATCCACAACGCATAATAATAATCGCATTATTCAGTTTCGTTTGTTAGAACCCAAAGAATATACTAGTGAATTGAATTTTTGCTTACCTTCCTCCATAAATATTTTCAGTCAAAGGCGAGCTTTCATCGTCTGAAAGGTTATCGTCGCTGTAGGGATCGGGTCGCAATCCACTCGCCATTTCTGAAAAAAAGGGAAGTCTAAAATTAATACTGGTGAATGAAAATGTTATAATAAATTTTTGAGATTTACAATTGAGAGATTGCTAAGTAAATTTATGCGAAGCACATTGTACTCAAACAATCAAAACAAACAAAAATTGCTTCAAGTTCCGAATTGATATTCGTAGTTGTACAATAATTTTCAGTCAATATACAGAAGTGAAAAAAGTTCTATAGTATTTTATCACAATCTTTAAATTTAACGACTTCCATGATGGCTTTAGGAGCACTAGTGAGGTATTAAGAACAAAAGTAAAATTCGAGTCAATGCATTTACGATCCCATGACGTAAGAGATCTACATCATATTGAAATTACAACTTTTTGTCATCGTACGTAACAAAATTACTTAAAAAATTGATATAAGTATTGATTTTCCTTCTGTGAATTTTGATACGAACCCAATTAATTACAAATGTATTATTTTTAAAAACATCCGTCGTGAGGTAATATCTTTTCTTTTTTCTTTTGAATAAAATTCTGTCTCTACTACATTTTTCTTGGTGTCGGACTGTGCAAAATAATGTAGGTATAGTCGAAGTAAACGACTTATGAAAGCAAGATGTGATGTGATATAGGATTACGAAAACCTTTAGATGTTTATCTAATAAAATCATTGAAAAAATAATATACGACTGTTACAAAAGCAATGAGATTCGTACAACGGAAATCATAAGGAAGAAAATGAATACTTCCGGCCATAACATGAGCTGTTGTGACAAAAGTCTTCAGAATTGGATAAAGACGAAGAGTGGCAGAAAATTATTAAAAAAGTAATTTTAGTTGAAAAAGACTATATGGAGATTGGACACTTACATATTAATAATGGTGGAAATAAATTCATTAATGATTTAAATGACGACAGTGATAGCGAAACAGAGAATATGGAAGAGGAATTATCAGATGCTTTTGAAGAAAGTTAGTAACGTGTTTTTGAAGCGATCGATTGTATATATACATATGTGAGTAAATAGTATTGAGAAGTATTTTCAATTATCACCCTGTTATTTGAATTCCTACTTTCCCACTCACCTATATAAACGAAATATTTATTATATTTATTATACAGCTGTTGGAAGGTAGGCTGCACTATATCATTTACTTGAACTATACTCTACCAAGTGTAATTCATTTTGAACGGATATTAATAGTAGCAAACTGAACGAAATAACTATTTTAGTAATTTAATTTCTAGTTGATCAGCTAGAACTATGCAGCTCACCCCTTTTGAATTTGTGAATTTTGACATCTAGTTTAGGATCCATTTAACAGTTGGTAATCGTGATGTATAGAAGATGTTCAGTTATTGTAGTATTGGTATTGATTATACAGGTAACATTTGTTATTTCAACGCTAACCTTATCAGTGTATATAAGTAGTTGTCTTGGCTTGATGTATTAGTTACTTGAAAATGGTCTAGTAAACCGAAACCGGTCGTAATATATAACAAAATCTTAGTAGAAATTAGACAAAAGTTATTTTCTTTATTCTATTTCAACATGAATTTTTACAAAATGAATAGGTCATCAATCGAATACCTTTTATTGTTTATGTTTGTTATAACAATATTTATCATATTGTTCTCTTCCAAATGGCATGTTTTCCATAAACGACAACTGAAATGCAGAAGTTTCCTTGTTGCCGAACAAAATATCTGAGAAATTCAGTGTCGGTGGTTTTCAGAAGTGAAAAAATTGTTATTGATCTAAACTTCTATGTTCAAGGCCAACTATTCGATTTATACCACGAAGAATTTAATTAAGCGGGTCTCAGACCAATTGTGCGGAACTAATGAATTTTTTGTTTGTGCATGCTCCGCATATTCAATCATTTCAACAAGATGGTAATATAAGTGTAATCGTTACTCATTTATGACTTGCCGTTTTCAGTTTTCTTTCATCTCACATTTTCATTTGTTTTGTAGTTCATATATTTCTTATACACAAGTTTATATATTTCTTATACAGTTTCATACCTCTCAGAACATTTTTTCTTATATCTCAGTTGGCTTTTCTGTTTCAGTTTTAGTAGATTTTCATTTAGTTACAATTCTTAAATTGAGAATGTAAACTTTCACGGCCGGAGATAACTGTGTGAAAACTATTTTCCGGGTGTTTTTTAGCCGATACTTCGTCTACTACTGCGGTATATATACATCATGAAAGGCAATGTAGTAACGGTCGCAGTGCCCGAGACGGTGCTTCGGTTGTTCCGAACGCATTAACTTGGGAATTGTAGAAAGACATCAATGTCGATCCAGATTTGCTTAAAGGGGAAATAACTGGTGACGAATCATGAGTATATGGTCACGACATCGAAACCAACGTCCAATCGTCTCAATGGAAGAGACCAAGAGAGTCATGACCAAAAAAAGCACGTCATGTTTGATCAAATGTCAAGGTTTTGCTCACTGTTTTATTCGATCATTGTGGCGTAGTGCATCAGGAGTTTTTGTCATATGATCATATGATCAATAGGGAGTATTATCTTGAAGTAATGCCCCGCTTGTGAGGAGCAATATGAAGAAAATACCCGGTATTATGGAAAAACAATTCATGGCTTTTGCATCTCGATAATGCACCTGCTGACTGGTCATTGCTTATTCTTAATTTTTTTGGCGAAAAAAACCACCGTAATCATGCCTCAGCCACCGTATTCACCAGATTTGCCGCACCCCTTGCGACTTTTTTCTGTTCCCAAGATTGAAGGACCCATGAAAGGCCGCCGTTTTGTGACGATTGAGGAGAGCTCAAGGACATACCAAAACGTGCAAAAGTGCAATCCTGCTTCGAGGATTGAAAAAAACGCTGCCACAAGTGTATTTTATCATACGGGGACTACTTTGAAGGAAACAAAGTAGAAATTGATGAATAAGTGAATTTTTTTTGTGAAAAAAAGAAAATTCACTTCATATTTTGAACAGACAGCGTATAAGGCGACTATATTCCGTGGCTATCTAGCGGGCGCGTCCCGAGGTGGCGGATAGGGGAACGGCCAGGGGACTGGTGGTCCTGTCTGAGAAGCCAATATGTGGCCTTACGGACGGGATCGCCTGACTCCTGGTAAGTGGCAGAAATGAGTAGGGTGAGGGAAACTTAAACTCCCTAAAAGCTTTTGCGAAACATGCCAGCCTACCCAAGCTGAGGTGTAAGGAATCGTGCCGACAGCTGAATGGCCGCAGGGTGATATGCGGTTACGAACGATCCCCTTGGGGAACCGGGCGAAATCTCATCGTAATCAGCCTTCCTCTGGTAAGGCGGGGCTCTGCCAGAGGTAACCAACTCTTCCCTTGCTACTCGTGGGAACACACATATATGAAACAAACAAAACAGACACAACAAAAACCAATCCCGATGCTGGACAGAAGTGCTCACGTCAATCTATCAAACTATGGCGGTTGCTGGGGATGAACAGAAATGTCCACCCCAATCTACCACTCGAAATGAGGCTGGACAACATAGCAGATCACCTCGTGATGTAATACAAAGGCGGCAACTCCACCTCCAGCAGCAAGGGCACTTCCTGCGGCGGGCGCCAAGATCTCCACCTTGAGTAAAGGCAAGGAACCGGCTGCCCCTGCAGGAAAGCGATCTAACTTCACTCGGGGAACCCCAGGAAAGTGGAAGAAGCCGCGCAACGACAGTAATGTCGCAGCACCTTCCAAAACCTTCGCGGAGGCCGCCGTGAGACACCTCAAGGTTGCCAAAGAGAGTATGTGTTCGGCGAGTCTTGGCCTACACCTGCCAATATGAAGGAGATGTTTCCTGTCCACCTTCCTGGAAAGGACAGGATGGACGATGACCTAGGAGGACAACTCCTCGGGAGGATTTACAATGGGTCTCATGTGGCCTAAGTGCTGTAGGTATACATACATACATACATACACTTTGAAGAGGTGAAGTTGTCGACAAATACAAATATTCCCCCTCAAAAAGGTGGTCAATCATGTGACTAGATCAAAGTAACTCCATATTTTTGTGAAAGCTGAAGTCATACTTAAGTGTTTATAGTGAATATCAAGAACAAGTGGTTCCATCAGATTTGGAAGAAATGGAACGCCATATATGGAGGTCGGTATATTGTCTATTGATAGGATGACAAACTACTGGATGTAAGACCCAGAAAAGTTCTAGATATCCAATATTTAGGACATTAGATGAATAAAACTATTTTCCAAAATAAATAGTACAACAAAACACGTGTTACAGTTTTGCAAACTGGCCAATGAAAATCTCACAATGGGGTGTAACTTGAATAATTCATGTATTTCCATGAAGTATCTGTCAGTTCTATCACATACATCTCAATAAGCTCTTCAAGGATTTCTGACGAGCCAAATTCACTCTAGATCCGTTTTCGGAAAACACGAAAATATTCAAGAATGATGTTTTTAACCTCTAACACTTCCTTCCCATTTTTTTTTATGACCTTGACATAACACCGATCCTAACCTGATAGGGTGAAACTGACTATGAATGGTCAGATACTGCCAACCCAAAATGTGTGACCTGCGCGTGAAAGATAATTTTTGAATCAGAAGTTTGTATTTTGAATTAGTTTTTCTTAAGCGTATTATCCTCATATATACAATGATTCAATATCTTATAGTCTATTTCAAAAGAGTGTAGAGTAATAAAATCTCATTAAGTATTCAAAAGCGCTACAGGGTGATCCGTCAATAAATTCTGTCACTTCCCTAGTCCGCATTGCAAAATTATGTCGTTTCATAAAGAGCAGGTAGGTATCACCCTGTTTTAAGGGATTTGTCCATTGTTATCGACGGATAAATACTGAGCCAGAGGCGCGCTAGTGGGATAATTGCCAAAAGAATATGCATTCATAAAAATTATATTAAAGGAAATAAAAATTTAATACAGCAGAACAGTGTTATTAAAAAAATATAAAATGTAACAATAAAATATATACGAACCGAAATCGGGAAATACTCACAAACACACACGAA